GTTTTTATATCATCTTAGCCCACCATGGCTGATTCGGTCCTTAGTTTAGGTTTATTTCAATAAACCAGTGAAAATTAGCATTAATTTTATCAATGCTGTCAGCAAACAATAATACTTTACCACTTTTCGCCATGATCCATATCCACTATTTCGATTCCATAATTGCTCTTGTGCAATGATTGTTCTCTTTTCGTGCTTCACATGTTTTTGATTGCCTTGCTTGAAACACTTTTTCATATCATCAACCATCGTTGAGGGACTCTAACCATGCCATTTTGTTTGCATAATAAGGAGAGAGATTTCACAAATTGTACTTTGCTCTTTTCGCCGTCTTTCCATTCTCCTTCATATCTGCTCATACTGGCTGCGCCTTGATCCGTGATATGAGGTCATTTGAGCTCGGATTTGTCTTGTGTGCATTGAGAATCCCATAATTAATCTATTGGTCTGCTTTCGTTTGGCTTCTTACGCGCCCTTTCGCATTTACATAACTCCATTTTGCTATGCCAGCCTAAATCGTAACCTGATTTGGCGTAACAATGTGCTCTGTTCTTCTTTGCCGTACTATCCTTTAGCAAACTGTAGTCGGTTGCACTTACTTAGATTCAAACAATTGCACAGTCGTGGTATGTTTGATGCTGGTGGAACTGCATATCTTCCCCGCACAAATCTGGATTATTGTTGATTTTCTAACTTGACTCAATCGTTTTCAGAAGATACACGATCACTCAACTCTCCACGAGCCTCCAAGTCTTCGGCCACTAGACGCTTCCTTCCCTCCAGCAAAGTCCGACGACATTCCCATTCCGATTCCACACGCTCACAAGTCTCGGCTGTCTCTTCGGACACCACCGGCGGGCCTCAGCCAACCAGCCTTGACGAGGTTGGTGGCTTAGACAGCGACTCCGGACTCGTCGAAGGATCGACAGTACTCAACGCGAATTTGAGTGATGGTACCGAAAAATTGACCTCTTCGTCAACCACCTATCGTTGCCGTGACGACGGCGGATTGACTTTGCGTCTTGAGCTCTCTCTCGGGCATACAGCACCTCTTCTACGGGAGATATTTGTGGAGTTTCTGGGCTATCTCTCCAAAACTCTGGTCGGCTCACAGGGTCAAGAACTGCTGACAGGCGGTCTGATGGCTCTGAGGAAGACTTCATCTGTTGTAGAACTGGTCATGCTTTTGTGCTCTCAGGTACGTCTAGCCCTCAATTCCTCCATCTACTCATGTCACCTGCACATCTTCATGCTTCTCTATTGTTATTTACACTTTCAATAAATCTGACTAATTGCACCTATTTATAATTTAGGGTATGCCCTAAATGCAAACCTGCATCGTGCCCGAATATACCGGATTTGTAAGGCGAAACATTTTAACGAAACCTTGAATCTTAAAGATTCCCCTGACACTTTCATATCGTTCGAAAAGCTTTTGAAATGTATGCAGAAAAACTGGGTTCCAAAGAATGCCTTAATAAATTCATGCTAGGGTGCCTCTCATCTCGTTTGAAGAGGCGAGTTGAAGGGAATGGTAAGTTGGTTCCACGGAGGCTGTGGTTGTAGATTTGTGCGAATAGGTCATCGGCGCACCAGCCTGCGACTCCGATGAATCCTTGATGAGCTTTCGTCCGTCATGTGACGGACATCGTTGCAGCTGGTCACGATGATTAACGATAATTCACCAAAAACACGAAAACAGGAAAAGTGGCTGGTTTCAAACCACCATCCCTCTTACATTCCAACTTGGTCCACTTACGAATCTCATGTTTTGGATGGACGTTCTATGCTTTGCTCATAAATTAAGTAAAGTGGCTGCAGATGACATGTGAAGTGGCTGCAGATAAAGCGTGAAACGGGGGCCTGGAGATTGATGTCAAGTCTTTCAGTTCGTATGCAGACGTACGATGAAGAGATTTGTGGACCGATCTCTCCATAAGACGATGCCTGCAGTCTGGCCTTACT